TAAAAAGACTATGCAGCACATATATGTATAACATATATTTCTTAGTTTAGGGGTCTCCAACCTTGGCAACTTTAATTCTGGCAGACTTCAACTCCCAGAATTCACTAACCAGCTTTGCTTTGCTGGCTGGGGAATTCTGGGAGTTGAAGTCTGCCAGAATTAAAGTTGCCAAGGTTGGAGACCCCTAAACTAAGAAATATATGTTATACATATATGTGCTGCATAGTCTTTTTACTGTAGCGAAAATATAGCAAGGAAATTTCACTTTCTTATATTATATTCAGAAACAGACTGAACTCTTGGCACAGTCAAAATTCATATAACTATTTTTAAATAAGAGAGTATAAACGTAAGGGCATATTTGTTTTCCAGAAAGCAGTTGTGCCTCCCAGACAGCTCTGCCTCTGCATCCCTTTTCATCGGGAAGAGGCTAGAATTTAATAAGGAAAGGTTTTTCTGATCCCTCAACATTGGTTCAAGGTGGAGTAAAATGTGCTTACAGTATTGATTTGTCAATACACCATCTCTGTGTAAAATATAGGGTGGGGTGAAGCATTTTTTCTCTTTTCTGCAGACATAACTAGAAACAACGCTGTAGAAGATCCATTCACATATGACTCCTAAACAATAACAAATTGATTAACCTCTCAGCAATTGGCACGGTTTTCATTTTAAAAGATAATGGGAATAGTTAAAAGAGTTTCTTGGGTAGTTAGTTAATGGTCAAAATCATTGTTTACTTGTTCAATTCTTCGTTTTTAAATAGATCTCTAATGAATGCTTGCGTAATGGTAGTCCCGTGTAATCATGACCTTCAGCATCTGTCAGGCTGCTAAATAATGTAAAATCTGAACCAGGCGCTTAACCTCTGCTTCTTTGAAAACAGAGAAAACATTTATCCTCAAAACTTTAAACAAGATTGTAATATGATGATATAGAACAACAGCTGCGCTGCACTTCAGATGTGAAGGTCAAATGGTGCTTCTGAGTATGCCAGGGTACAAGTATAGAATAACCTGCCATGGGTACATACTGTATCTGTGCACTAAAGCCTTTTTTGCCTTCTATCCCACAGCCCTAAATGTTTAGTTACTGTAAAATCACCACATATTATTCTGTTCTCCGTCTGTAGCAACTATATCTATCTATCTATCTATCTATCTATCTATCTATCTATCTATCTATCTATCTATCTATCTATCTATCCTGTTTCCCCGGAAATAAGACCTCTTTGGATAATAAGCCCAATTGAGCTTTTGAGCGCATGCACTAAAATAAGCTATCGCCCCCCGAAAGTAAGCCCTCCCCGAAAATATTGTAACACAGCAGCAGCCATGCAATAACCACGTTCGCCACCTTCTGCATCTCAAAAATAAGAAGACTGAAAATAAGGCCAAGTGCTTATTTCGGGGGTCAAAAGAAAATAAGAAAATAAGATTTTTTTCATATATGTGTATATATGTGTGTGTGTGTGTGTGTATGTGTATGTGTATGTGTATATGTGTGTGTGTGTGTATATATATGTATGTATGTATGTATGTATGTATGTATGTATGAATGAATGAATGAAAAAAATCCACCTCTGTAACTTGATTGTGTTTCTACTAGATAAAGAAATTATCTGCTATGTAAAAGTCATATTACTACCTTCTAACATGGCTGTAAAAGTGACTTTCTTGGTAGCATTTTCTAGAGACATGTAACCTTGTTTGTAAGCTAAGTGAAATGCTCTTCTAACATGATGTTCTGGTCAGTCAGAATTTTGCAAGTCAGAACTTACAACACAGCTTAGAAGGTATTCATATATGTAAAAGGTCTGAATATTAATATAAAAATGTCTTGCATATATTTTGCAAAAATATTTTGCCAACTTCTTCCAGCTGCCTGAATTATTTCTGCAAATTTTTTCAGTAGACTGAAGTTCATTCTAACTTTTTTTCCTTCTGCTTCTTTAGGTTCTCCACAAGATATAGGTGCAGTAAGAAATCAGACTGTCCTTCAGAGCATGAGGACTTCCCAAATGATACCTCAGAATGCTAGCATGATGTCTTTGGGGGCCTCTCAGAACACTGCAGCAATCTCTGCAACAGGTAGTCAGCCTGAGATGGGAATGACTCCTTACAGCAGCTCAATGACTGGCCAGCCAGGAATGTACAACATGAACTCTGGAATGAGCCAAATGTTGCAGCACCCAAACCAAAATAATATAAATATAACACACAATCCAAGTCAGGGGCCAAGGCAGCCCAGTTCAACGCAAGGAGTTGGCATAGTCAGCAGCTTTGGTCCAAATGTTTTAGTAAACTCTACTGTAGCTCAACAACATCAGCAAATGAAAGGACCTGTGGGACAAGTTATGACCAGAACACAAGCCCCCAGACTTCAAAATATGATGGGGTCAGTCGCACAAGGAACAGCAAACTGGCAGGCAAGAGGACTGCAAGGTATTCCTGGAAGGACTAGCAATGAAATTGGATCTTTCAATAATGGATCTGCTTACTCAATGCAATCAAGTCAGCAAAGGCCGCCTAAGCAACATTTTCCTCAAAGTATTGGTCAATCTATTATGGACACAAATGGAGCAGTTCGGTCACTGAACTCAGGTGTAGGGAGACAGATGTTGCAACAACTCCCTGGACAACAAGGAACCAATAACCAATCCAGATCAATGGTTATGGCTACAATAAGTCAGGCAGTTTCTTCTCTAACTGGTTTTAATCAGTCTTCTGCACAACAAATACCAGGAAGTAGCTTCAGTCAGAGCAGCCAAGGTCAGATCTACGAGAGGAATCCCACTCAAGACATATCTTATAGCTATAGCAGTGAAGGAACTGGAGGCTCCTTTCCAAATATAACTGAAAGCACCGATCTTGTAGATTCCATCATTAAAAGTGGTCCAGGAGATGAATGGATACAAGAACTTGATGAACTGTTTGGAAATCCATAGCACATGGAGACGTTCAGTTCCAATATTTATGGGGTCAAAAAAGGAAAGCAGGATGATGTCCATCCTTGTTTCTTTGTTTTGTTTTTAAAGCTGTGCAAAGCTAGCTGATCTGTGAAGGCATAGATGGAATTTGAAGCAATGACAAAAAGTCCTTGCCAACTTCCCACAGCAGTCTCCTATCTGCTGCAGGTCAGAATGAGAGAGAGAAAGAGAGATTGAGAGAGAAAGAGAGAAAGAGAGAGAGAAGCTCAAAAAGTGCTGCTTTCTGCCTATGGGTCACAGAAAGTGGCAGGCAGTTTCCATGTGCCAAAGCACTGGCTGTCCTCTAACAATGCACTTTCTATGCAGTTCTCTAAGAGCTGTTGTAGTTTTCAGGATACAGAACAGGCAGCTTCTGAGATAAAGCAGGAGAGTCAAAGCTAGGCGACTGCACAAGTGACAAACACAAAGACCTTAACTCTGAATTTAATAAATACCAAGCTTTTCCATGCAATGTGTGTAATCTGATAGAGAACTACATAAAGGTTGTTTGAATGTGGTAATGACAATGATACCAGCACTGAACAAGTTCAGTCAGTGCCCTATCAATGCTTCTTAAGGTGCATGATGTATTCTAGTGAAAGAGTTCATCTTTTCTCTATTGTCCATTTCCTGCATAATCAAGTGATTCCTGACTTTAACTATGAGGAAAAACACAGCGTAGGACAAGCAAGATTGTATAATAATTGTATTACTCACTGGCTGCCTCCAAAGATAGTGATGCAATACAAAAGCAATTGAAAAAAGGGAGATAGGTCTAAGGAAATGAAAACATTGATATTGAGTGTGTTCCAGAGGTGGTATTCAGCCAGTTCTCTCCAGTTCAGGTGAACCGGTAATGGTGGCTGTGGGAGTCTTCACCCACCCACCCCGACATAATGCGTGAGCAGTGCACATGCACAGAAGGCGGCACACATGTGCAGACATGGTGCATGTGAGTGAAGCAAGCGCGTGCGTGCTCATATTTACGAACCAATAGGGAAGGTGACTGAATCCCACCTTTGGTGTGTTCTTTTTATGAACATACAGGATCAAGTGAAGTTGGGCTATACAAACTTTTGGCTTGATCTTCCAAAGATGTCAGGAGAATCAAGGAACAACTGCTCTAAAGATCACACAGAGAGGGGCCAATAACTGTATTGGCTGCCATATACAGTACATTGAACACCCCTATCGAAGCATCCTGGACAGATTGAGAATGAGTTTATGGTCTATGTTCTTCAAACACATGTCCTCCTTTTTACACGTCCTACTTTCTGCAAGCCCTAAGCTCTTTAAAATGACTAAACTGATCAATGAAAAGCAAATTTAAAAAAATAAAAATCCATTGATGTAATTTTTAGTAGCAGTTGTATATAAGCATATGGCATTGCAAATATTTTTTCATAGAGTTGTGCAATTTGAAGTACTAGAATTTAACTGCAAGTCTTTTAGGTCCTTTTAAGAGTTTAGATTGGCATTATTTGTAACATTGGAAATTGAATGTGTGACCACCTATCTGTATGTTGAACACGGGGTTCATGTTAAATACATCCACATCCAGAGCATTCTCAGGGTCTGTTTTATATGTTTTTTCTTACATACAGTTTTCCATCTAAGCTCATTGTTTTAGAGATAATATTTTTGGTAGAATAGCAGCAGACAGTGAGGAGACTATTTCTGCAGCCATTCATTCTCTGGTTCATGACATTCTCTGATTGTATCTCTTACACTTTTCCAGGATAAGATTACCATGAATATTGGAAGAAATGTTTTAAAAGCATGTAGAGAAGCACTGAACACCTCATTTATCCATAATTTTCTTCCTCTAGAAACAGCTTTTCCTGAAATATGAAGGAGTGGGCAGGGTTTTAGTTACGTGTTATACTTAAAGTATTTTTAGCCCATCAAACACTTTGGGTTTGGCTATAAGATTTAAATGGCATGGGAGTAAAATTCCTATATACAGTCTGCCGTATATCCTACTGAAATTATTGGCAGATTTTTTTTGCTGACTCTCATGAGAGTTAACTTCTTGTCAGTACTAAAATATACATTGACCAATGCATTTCCACGTTGGTAGATTTGACATTTGGCCTAAAAATTGTGTCCTTATAAAAAATAAATTTTATCATGCACTCTGCACAGTGTGCCAAATTGATCATAGCACATACATAGGAGTGCATGCAAAGATCCAAAGAAGTTTTAATCCACTCATGTATCAAATGTATTTAATACAACTCGACCACATTCAGATGAAAAAGAAAAGAAATTAGTGTTAGTGTGCTACAGCAGTCAGATGAAGCTTAAAAATGTGACCAGTTAAGTATGCAAAAATTAGGAAAGAAGTCAAGTGAATGTTTTATCATCTCCCTCAAAAAAAAACATTATTCTTTACTGGAAATATTGATAAGAGAGGATTTATGGGGCAATCCTATGTATTCAGAAATAGGTTCCATTGTCTTTGAACTAAACCCAGGTAAGGGGCTATAGAATTTCAACATTAAAACATGAGTTTCATCTACACAAATTCCAGTAAGTTCCTTTTTATTAGAATAATAGAGAAATTAACTTTGTGTTTGATAATGCATTCATAAAAAGTTTATTATATTTGTAAATTTTCCTCCAAGTCCTTTAAACTGGGACCAAGTAATAAAAATACTGTTTAATATTGGGGGAGGGCTCTTTTTAACTATGGTGCTGGTGTACATGAAATGGTTTTTTTTAAAAAACTTGTAAATATGTTTTTACAATCTGCTGATATCACTGGGTCTAGTCTGTAAAATAGAAACATATAAATAAATATTGTATTATATTGTGCTATATATATAGATGTATATAAATATATATACATGCACACACAACATGCAAACACAGACATATGTATGTAATATGTTTGTTTAAAATAGAATTTTATTTCATTTTCATTTATCTATACTGCAGTGATAACTGCACTTCAGATGTCCTGTTACCAGTTTGTACTGTATCCTAGCCAGCAACCTGTTCCATTTTATTCAAACTTTTTCTAATTTACTTTTTTTTCACTTTTCACATTAAATGTTGCTTATTTCATTTTGATAATTGTACGAACTCTTAAAATGTAGAAATGAACTAATAACATATCAATTTTAAGGAAAAAAATAAAAGATTGTTATCTGAATCAGCTCAGTTCTGTAACACAATTCTTTATTCTTGAAGTACAATATGTGGCAGAACCAGTGGTGGGTTCCAGATCCCGTCGCAACCGGCACGCTGCGACGGGGCTGGGCATCCACCACATGCATGCGCACTGCGCACCCACTGCCCACGACGCTCCAGCTGCTCGGCGGAACATTGCACAGGCGCCATACATATGCTGCCTGCACGTGCACAAATGGCCCAGTTGGGTCAAATACAGGTAAGGAATGTGGGCGGGCGAGCCCTCCGAAGCACCATACCGTAACGGTGCCTGCTGCTCCCAGCCGGAACCCACCACTGGGCAGAACTGAGCCAGCCTTCACTACTCCACACAAAAGCTGAAGGCAGAACTGGATATGGATGGAACTCAGATGGGCAGCCACCAAAAAAATCAGGGTTTTGTCTAGAAACCCTGGGGAATTAGAAAATCTGGGGGGAAAAGCAATCACTACAAACTATTTTTTCNTAAAATATACAATAATACAGGATAAAAATTTAAAAAATTTAAAAACACGTGGGAACATTCTCTCAACCATCCATACCTACATTCACTCCTTCACTCAGCAACAAGATGGACGCTGTTCTTGAACCGCCAAGCGGTTGGCGCAGTTTTGAAATAAATAAAGTTAGTAATAATGTAAGAGAGGAAAGTCTTTGCGCTCAGAAACGTCTCCTCTGCGGAGTCCAGTAGAAAGAACAAAGCTCTAAAGTTTGAAGTGGATGGAGGGTTGACGCTGGTCGGAGGGGAGGGGGACAAGCTCCCTACCCACGCCCTCTTCGTCCCCCGCTTTCCCTTTCTGCGGAGATTGTAAACACAGAGTGGCATGCAGGACTCTCGGCGAAGGCAGAGGTCTAAGGACTCCATGGCCGAACAGCAGCAGCCAGAATGGTGAGGGGGGAGGCCCTCGTATCCGCGTTGTTGATTTAGAATTGGATCAGAAGCAGAGGGGAAGTAGGCGAGGGAGGGAGGGGTCGTGCCAGAAACCAAATAATGGCGATGAAAAAAAGGTGACAGTCAGTTGATCTCATGCGTCCCAATTCTCTCCGAAATGGTGGTCCAAGGGGCGAAGGCGAGGGTAGGAACAGTCGAAGGATCAAAACAGTCAGGGGGCAGTGTTGTCTGGAAAAAGGCACGCCTGAGAGTAATCGCGGATGGCAGCAGCAATAGCAGCGGGAGCCGGAAGGCTGGCCACGGTGACCAAAAAGCCGGAATTTCAACAGCCGGTCCGCAGCAATGATGGTAGAAGTCAGAAAGGGCCGCAATGGGAGGGGGGTGCACTTGGGTCAGCAGTGGCGACGGCAAGGAGGCCAGTCGCACAGGCCCATAGCACAACGATGTTAAACCCACCAGCCCCCCCGAGCAGCAGTACGGCTCAACGGCATCTCGCCAGCGAAAGCAGGGCCATAGCGATCCGAATCCAAGCTGAAAATTGTCATCAGCTGGAGAATTGCCATCTGTGGGGAGAGGGGGGGCGCCGCCCGAAGGTTGCTCACCACCACTCGGCACCACCAGAAACTGTCCAGAACCGCCAGAGCTGTACCCCTCCAGGCAGAACGTCACTCTGCAAACGAAAAGCCGGCCCGAACTCAAGCCGAAATTGCGGCCAGCTGGAGGACTGCCGTCTGCGAGGGGGGGTGCCGCCCAAAGGCCGCCCGATGCCATCCGACACCGCCGAAGACCGCCCAGAGCTGCCTGGGCAGCGTCTCTCCAGCCCTCTGAGATCGTCTTAGTTTCTTCTCACCCAGGTTCCACTTTTTTTCTTTCAAACATTTTATTTCATTTTCATTTTCCTTTATACAATCACTTAAATACTGTGTAGTTAAAAAAAAAAGCAATAAACACAACTCATCCTTCATACACCCTTTCTTCTACCCCTCCAACTTTCATTTCTCCCCTCCGACAATCCCCTCTTCTACTTCCCCTCCCCCTCAACCATTCCTTTCTCCCCTTCCCACCATCTCACCCTCCTTACATTCCCTTCTCACTCCCTCTTAANCAAACTATTTTTTCATATTACCAGGAAAACTGCACAAAAGTGTAGAAATGGTGGAGTCATGCTCAAAATGAGGACGTCGTTAATTATTAAATTTTATATTATGATAGGACATCTGCTATCAGCTGGATCTGTTAATATAGGTAGCCCTAGACTTAACAACATTTCATTTAGTGATGTTTGAAGTTACAACGGCAGTGAAAAAAGTGACTTATGACCATTTTTCACAGTTGCAGCATCCCCATGGTCATGTGATTAAAATTTAGACGCTTGGCAATTGACTCATATTTATGATGTTTGCAGGGTCCCTGGATCATGTGATCACTGTTTGTGACCTACTGACAAACAAAGTCAGAGGGGAAACCAGTTTCACTTGAAAACTGTGTCACTAACTTAACACCTGCAGTGATTAACGTAACATCTGTGTCAAGAAAGGTTGTTAAATGGGGCAAAACTCACTTAAAAAATGTTTCACCTAACAACAGAAATTTTGGGCTCAATGGTTGTCATAAGTCAAGGAGTACCTGTATTGGAGCAAAGGCTGAGTTCCTTTGATCCAATAAAATATTAAAACTTAATGGGAAATAGCTTTATAAAGAGATACTGGCTGTACCCCACTAATTAGCAATAGCTGTCCAGCATTTCAGGCAAATCTTTACCCATGATTGGTTGCATGCAAAGAATATTGCACATAAAAATTCAAGGTCAAGTTGTATGTTCAAATGAATCCATAAGTGATTCATTCATTCTATGCTTCAATGAGTCTCTAAGTGCCACTCCAGAGTGGGAGCAAGAGTCTAGAGAGATAATTGAATAAATATGATAGGCACTAAGTGGTATCAAAAGCATTACTGGCCAGAGTAGGAGTTGCCTGTCTATTGTTTATGTTGGGCAGGATGGGTCCTTTTACCTTACAGATAGGAGGAGATGTGAAAGTTGGTGGCGTAAGGAGGAAAAGAGCCGGGAAAGGCATTGCATTGGTGTCAGGCATGTGGCAGTTTGATTGGAGACCGGATTGGCTTGATTGTGGTGGCTTATATCACCAAAACCTAGTTGAACATGAGGGTTCTTATTCTGAATGTGCTCAACTGGGTTTCAAGTGCAGCACTAGCTGTGGCTCAGGAACAGGATTGGGGGCATGGATTGAAAATCAAGACTCCGAAAGTCTCTCGAATATTGTTCTCCGTTGTTGGTTGTTTCAAAATCAACCAAATAATCATCCATGTGATTCCAGCCATCATATGAATGGGCTCCATATGGTGTGTCATATGGTCATTGGCTCTTTGCTTTCAACTCTTCTGAACTTTTGTACACAATACACAGCATAACCTTTCTTCAGCTGAGCTCAGCTGTGGGAACCCACTAACTGCTTCAAACCTTTATCAATCGATGATTTTTCTCCATCTGAATTTTCTACTTGACATCATCATTTCTTAAAATGCTTCTTGCATTTTGGTATTTCTATCACTACCATAAGGTAGTCATTAATAGCAGCTCTTAAGACATATCCAGTTAGAGTCACCTCTCATTTTCCTCCAACAGCGCTCTAGGCATCTCTTTGCCCTTTTAAAACCTGTAGTTTCTCCATGAACTACATGGAGTGTTGGGAACAATGGATCGAGAGACTGTACAGGCATGATCCTGTCCAAAGCCTTTGGTTCCAGGACATAACTAGAGCTTTGGCAGCATCACACACCAAAGCCCCTACGAAATCCCCCATTCTCTCTGGAACCTATTTGAGTCCATCAGTCATTGGGGATGGACCACTTTAATGGGACTGGACTTCATGTGAAGCGGGGGTGGCATAAGAGAATCTCAGGGACGCCTAACATGAGTTGACCATGACAGGAGGATTAACAAGAGATCCCTGACCCAGATAATATTGCCATTGCTCCAACAAGAAGATCATGTCTGGCAAGTGATCACTGTTCCAAGTCAAACCCAAGATGATCTGGGATAGACCCATAGTGGCCATAAATTCCTTAGCTACTTCAAACCCAGGTATGGCAGGTTGAAGTCTCCCTGGACAATAAGCCTTGGGAACTCCACTGCCAGCCCTAAGATGGCTTCCAGCAGCTCAGGCAGAGAGTTGCCACATAGCAGGGAGGCTGGTGCAGTAGCACCAATTGATCCAGGGAGCGTAGCTTCAGAAATAGGCTCTCACAAGCAGAAACATGGGAAGTAAGATCCCTGAAGGATGGAAGAGGTTTTTGGATTACCACTTCCACCACACCTGCTCTGCCCTAAGTTCAAAAGATTCTGAATCCTTATTCCTCCTCTAGCATGACCACAACTGTCTCCTCAATTTCATTTCAAGTCCTTACACTGCCTTCAAGTTCTTTCCTAGTTTCTTATGAAGGCCAGTGGGCATTGACCATGGCTCCAAGTCAACCACTCTGGCTGTGCTTTTAAGTCTTACAAAAAATTTCTCAGTCTTGCACTGTCCACTGAATCATACAAGGGCCACTGGCCCTAAGCAGAATTCAATTCCAACATTCTCCACTTGCCAGCTATTGTCTTTAGAGCCTGTTGTCAGTGTTGCATCATCGCCACTTGGCTTTTGCCCTTGCTCTTAGCCTTTCATTGCTAGCACCCTCAGTCTCACCCGCGGACTGCACTCTCGGTCCCAGAAGCAAACATCACAGCTGTTGCCCTCAGTATTCATCACCCTCATTCTGAATTGCGGGACTTCATTCTACACTTCCAGAGCAATCCACCTCTGGCCTAGATTATGGCTTCATTCAAAAATATCAAAAAGTTATTAGATGAAATAGCTTCCATCATCAAAGTATAGAGGGGAACA